CTACAGCCTGTGTCCTCTAGCCTCTACAGCCTGTGTCCTCTAGTCTCTACAGCCTGTGTCCTCTAGTCTCTACAGCCTGTGTCCTCTAGTCTCTACAGCCTGTGTCCTCTAGTCTCTACAGCCTGCGTCCTCTAGTCTCTACAGCCTGCGTCCTCTAGTCTCTACAGCCTGTGTCCTCTAGTCTCTACAGCCTGTGTCCTCTAGTCTCTACAGCCTGTGTCCTCTAGTCTCTACAGCCTGTGTCCTCTAGTCTCTACAGCCTGTGTCCTCTAGTCTCTACAGCCTGTGTCCTCTAGTCTCTACAGCCTGTGTCCTCTAGTCTCTACAGCCTGTGTCCTCTAGTCTCTACAGCCTGTGTCCTCTAGTCTCTACAGCCTGTGTCCTCTAGTCTCTACAGCCTGTGTCCTCTAGTCTCTACAGCCTGTGTCCTCTAGTCTCTACAGCCTGTGTCCTCTAGTCTCTACAGCCTGTGTCCTCTAGTCTCTACAGCCTGTGTCCTCTAGTCTCTACAGCCTGTGTCCTCTAGTCTCTACAGCCTGTGTCCTCTAGTCTCTACAGCCTGTGTCCTCTAGTCTCTACAGCCTGTGTCCTCTAGTCTCTACAGCCTGTGTCCTCTAGTCTCTACAGCCTGTGTCCTCTAGTCTCTACAGCCTGTGTCCTCTAGTCTCTACAGCCTGTGTCCTCTAGTCTCTACAGCCTGTGTCCTCTAGTCTCTACAGCCTGTGTCTCTAGCCTGCTGTCCTCTAGTCTCTACAGCCTGTGTCCTCTAGTCTCTACAGCCTGTGTCCTCTAGTCTCTACAGCCTGTGTCCTCTAGTCTCTACAGCCTGTGTCCTCTAGTCTCTACAGCCTGTGTCCTCTAGTCTCTACAGCCTGTGTCCTCTAGTCTCTACAGCCTGTGTCCTCTAGTCTCTACAGCCTGTGTCCTCTAGTCTCTACAGCCTGTGTCCTCTAGTCTCTACAGCCTGTGTCCTCTAGTCTCTACAGCCTGTGTCCTCTAGCTACGCTGTCTCTACAGCCTGTGTCCTCTAGTCTCTACAGCCTGTGTCCTCTAGTCTCTACAGCCTGTGTCCTCTAGTCTCTACAGCCTGTGTCCTCTAGTCTCTACAGCCTGTGTCCTCTAGTCTCTACAGCCTGTGTCCTCTAGTCTCTACAGCCTGTGTCCTCTAGTCTCTACAGCCTGTGTCCTCTAGTCTCTACAGCCTGTGTCCTCTAGTCTCTACAGCCTGTGCCTCTAGTCTCTACAGCCTGTGTCCTCTAGTCTCTACAGCCTGTGTCCTCTAGCTCTACAGCTGTGTCCTCTAGTCTCTACAGCCTGTGTCCTCTAGTCTCTACAGCCTGTGTCCTCTAGTCTCTACAGCCTGTGTCCTCTAGTCTCTACAGCCTGTGTCCTCTAGTCTCTACAGCCTGTGTCCTCTAGTCTCTACAGCCTGTGTCCTCTAGTCTCTACAGCCTGTGTCCTCTAGTCTCTACAGCCTGTGTCCTCTAGTCTCTACAGCCTGTGTCCTCTAGTCTCTACAGCCTGTGTCCTCTAGTCTCTACAGCCTGTGTCCTCTAGTCTCTACAGCCTGTGTCCTCTAGTCTCTACAGCCTGTGTCCTCTAGTCTCTACAGCCTGTGTCCTCTAGTCTCTACAGCCTGTGTCCTCTAGTCTCTACAGCCTGTGTCCTCTAGTCTCTACAGCCTGTGTCCTCTAGTCTCTACAGCCTGTGTCCTCTAGTCTCTACAGCCTGTGTCCTCTAGTCTCTACAGCCTGTGTCCTCTAGTCTCTACAGCCTGTGTCCTCTAGTCTCTACAGCCTGTGTCCTCTAGTCTCTACAGCCTGTGTCCTCTAGTCTCTACAGCCTGTGTCCTCTAGTCTCTACAGCCTGTGTCCTCTAGTCTCTACAGCCTGTGTCCTCTAGTCTCTACAGCCTGTGTCCTCTAGTCTCTACAGCCTGTGTCCTCTAGTCTCTACAGCCTGTGTCCTCTAGTCTCTACAGCCTGTGTCCTCTAGTCTCTACAGCCTGTGTCCTCTAGTCTCTACAGCCTGTGTCCTCTAGTCTCTACAGCCTGTGTCCTCTAGTCTCTACAGCCTGTGTCCTCTAGTCTCTACAGCCTGTGTCCTCTAGTCTCTACAGCCTGTGTCCTCTAGTCTCTACAGCCTGTGTCCTCTAGTCTCTACAGCCTGTGTCCTCTAGTCTCTACAGCCTGTGTCCTCTAGTCTCTACAGCCTGTGTCCTCTAGTCTCTACAGCCTGTGTCCTCTAGTCTCTACAGCCTGTGTCCTCTAGTCTCTACAGCCTGTGTCCTCTAGTCTCTACAGCCTGTGTCCTCTAGTCTCTACAGCCTGTGTCCTCTAGTCTCTACAGCCTGTGTCCTCTAGTCTCTACAGCCTGTGTCCTCTAGTCTCTACAGCCTGTGTCCTCTAGTCTCTACAGCCTGTGTCCTCTAGTCTCTACAGCCTGTGTCCTCTAGTCTCTACAGCCTGTGTCCTCTAGTCTCTACAGCCTGTGTCCTCTAGTCTCTACAGCCTGTGTCCTCTAGTCTCTACAGCCTGTGTCCTCTAGTCTCTACAGCCTGTGTCCTCTAGTCTCTACAGCCTGTGTCCTCTAGTCTCTACAGCCTGTGTCCTCTAGTCTCTACAGCCTGTGTCCTCTAGTCTCTACAGCCTGTGTCCTCTAGTCTCTACAGCCTGTGTCCTCTAGTCTCTACAGCCTGTGTCCTCTAGTCTCTACAGCCTGTGTCCTCTAGTCTCTACAGCCTGTGTCCTCTAGTCTCTACAGCCTGTGTCCTCTAGTCTCTACAGCCTGTGTCCTCTAGTCTCTACAGCCTGTGTCCTCTAGTCTCTACAGCCTGTGTCCTCTAGTCTCTACAGCCTGTGTCCTCTAGTCTCTACAGCCTGTGTCCTCTAGTCTCTACAGCCTGTGTCCTCTAGTCTCTACAGCCTGTGTCCTCTAGTCTCTACAGCCTGTGTCCTCTAGTCTCTACAGCCTGTGTCCTCTAGTCTCTACAGCCTGTGTCCTCTAGTCTCTACAGCCTGTGTCCTCTAGTCTCTACAGCCTGTGTCCTCTAGTCTCTACAGCCTGTGTCCTCTAGTCTCTACAGCCTGTGTCCTCTAGTCTCTACAGCCTGTGTCCTCTAGTCTCTACAGCCTGTGTCCTCTAGTCTCTACAGCCTGTGTCCTCTAGTCTCTACAGCCTGTGTCCTCTAGTCTCTACAGCCTGTGTCCTTCTAGTCTCTACAGCCTGTGTCCTCTAGTCTCTACAGCCTGTGTCCTCTAGTCTCTACAGCCTGTGTCCTCTAGTCTCTACAGCCTGTGTCCTCTAGTCTCTACAGCCTGTGTCCTCTAGTCTCTACAGCCTGTGTCCTCTAGTCTCTACAGCCTGTGTCCTCTAGTCTCTACAGCCTGTGTCCTCTAGTCTCTACAGCCTGTGTCCTCTAGTCTCTACAGCCTGTGTCCTCTAGTCTCTACAGCCTGTGTCCTCTAGTCTCTACAGCCTGTGTCCTCTAGTCTCTACAGCCTGTGTCCTCTAGTCTCTACAGCCTGTGTCCTCTAGTCTCTACAGCCTGTGTCCTCTAGTCTCTACAGCCTGTGTCCTCTAGTCTCTACAGCCTGTGTCCTCTAGTCTCTACAGCCTGTGTCCTCTAGTCTCTACAGCCTAAGAGAGGAAAGCGGAGCATTTTCACGGAGAACACGCGCTATAACTATATAAATAATAGCTTTTCTGTAAACATTTCAATATCTGGAAAAAAATCCTATTTATAGCAAGAGTAATAGCCAAAAAATGATATAATTTGATTTTTGGTGTAATAATGTTGATAATTTGCATGTAAAACACTTTGGCACAATTGGCACAAAAATGGACCGCTTGTGCCGAATGTGCCCATTAGTCACAAAAAAGCCCCCAGCATCAAAATGGTTTCACCTAAAGGTCTAAAATTTCATACAGTTGTTGCCAACACCACAGACATCTGCTCTGGTGAGTTTGAACAACATATCATAAAGTATGTCTTCAGGAGAACCTTTTGAAATTGCCTTTTTTTTTTCGAGACAAAAAAAACTAACTTTTACTCATGTTTGAGAAGGTGTAGTGCAGACTGTGTCCTTCCTAACAAACTAACATACATTTCCAGAAACTAGAAGGTGTTACCTTTCAAATGAGGTCTCATAACACAAGATCAGACACAAGATGTCCACACAGTAAGCATTTCTAATTGGGTATCATAATTCGAGAAGAAACAGGCGAAATTAGGTGATCCTTAAGGGGCTAGACTACAGTAACGCCTCACCTCACTGGTCTCTCCAACTGCAGGTTTAGTCCTGACTAGAACCAGGAAGTACAATCACATTAGTCTGAAAACCAGCTTCTGTTGAACGTGCCCCGGTCTCGTCTCAAAACTCGTGGAGACCGAGCCTTTTCTGTTGCCGCCCCCAAACTGTGGAATAGTGACCTTTGTTCTTTAGAGCAGCTCCTTCATTGGAAGTTTTTATGTCTAGTTTAAAGACACATTTTTACACCTTGGCTTTTAACACCAATTGAGTTTTACCATTTTAGTTTTACATGTATGTGTGTGTATTTCATGCCGTTTTCTTTTGTTTTTATCTTTCGTGCCTGTGAAGCACTTTGAGCAGCTGGTGTTGTTGTATATGTGCTATATAAATAACATTGACATAGTCCTGGTCTGACTCTGAGGAGCACAGGGACTTTGTATTGTGCCATACTAATGTTGATTGACTGTGTCCTGTGTGTTTGTCCGAGTGCAGCTGTCGGAGGCTGACTTCCTGGACTCACTGTTGGTTCTGGGCTTCAGCAAAGAAGTGAATGACATGCTGCTTCAGGTCTGTCCCACTGCTCTGTCCCACTGCTCTGTCCCACTGCTCTGTCCCACTGCTCTGTCCCACTGCTCTGTCCCACTGCTCTGTCCCACTGCTCTGTCCCACTGCTCTGTCCCACTGCTCTGTCCCACTGCTCTGTGCCAAGTCTTGTCCATAGACTGTAAATATTAGTCTATTGCATTTGCCGGCACCAGTCCCACATGAATAAAGATTACTTACTGACTTACTCTAAAATATTAAAAATTGTTCTTGTACCGTCTGGTCTCCATTGGATAACATGGGAACTTCACACATCACTTCATACTTCCGCGCGCAGACCGTAATCCAAATTCTGTCTAACTTTTGATCCTTAAATGTGTTTAGATGATGTGGAGGTGTAAGTTTGAGAGATTTAACAATTTAACAGAATGGGAATAAGTCATTGACCTTTTGAATTTGGACGGAAATACTGTTTTATTGGCGCCCCATGAAAAACTCTGGCTCATTCTGTAGGGGGCGCTACATTCATATTCATTGGGAAAGTAATACGCCCTGTTGAAGCTCGGGCTTAAAAATAATCACAGATGCAAAGAACTTTGTGAAAAATCCAGTTTTATTTGTGGAAGGTTTGCTTTTTCCTCTCTACAATTTAGATACATCTCCATCGCTATCCATTTAGGCTTCATGGAAAATGTCCAAACTAAAGAAAGGAATAAAATCCATACACTCTGGACATTATAAATGTGGGATGTATTTTCTCTATTATTCCATTACACAAGGCTATTAATGTGTTTTCTTATTTAAAGCTGGGCTACCTAACTTTCAAACTCTCTGCCCTCTGCTCTTTCCTCTCCTCTCTCTGATTCTTGGCCCCCACTCTCCTCTCTCTGATTCTTGGCCCCCACTCTCCTCTCTCTGATTCTTGGCCCCCTCTCTCCTCTCTCTGATTCTTGGCCCCCTCTCTCCTCTCTGATTCTTGGCCCCCACTCTCCTCTCTCTGATTCTTGGCCCCCACTCTCATCTCTCTCCTCTCTCTGATTCTTGGCCCCCTCTCTCCTCTCTCTGATTCTTGGCCCCCTCTCTCCTCTCTTTGATTCTTGGCCCCCACTCTCCTCTCTCTCCTCTCTCTGATTCTTGGCCCCCTCTCTCCTCTCTCTGATTCTTGGCCCCCTCTCTCCTCTCTTTGATTCTTGGCCCCCACTCTCCTCTCTCTCCTCTCTCTGATTCTTGGCCCCCTCTCTCCTCTCTTTGATTCTTGGCCCCCACTCTCCTCTCTCTCCTCTCTCTGATTCTTGGCCTCCTCTCTCCTCTCTCTGATTCTTGGCCCCCACTCTCCTCTCTCTCCGATTCTTGGCCCCCACTCTCCTCTCTCTCCCCTCTCTCCTCTCTCTGATTCTTGGCCTCCTCTCTCCTCTCTCTGATTCTTGGCCCCCACTCTCCTCTCTCTCCGATTCTTGGCCCCCACTCTCCTCTCTCTCCTCTCTCCTCTCTCTCCCCTCTCTCCTCTCCCTGATTCTTGACCCCCACTCTCCTCTCTCTCCTCTCTCTGATTCTTGGCCCCCACTCTCCTCTCTCTCCTCTCTCTGATTCTTGGCCCCCACTCTCCTCTCTCTCCCCTCTCTCCTCTCTCTGATTCTTGGCCCCCACTCTCCTCTCTCTCCCCTCTCTCCTCTCTCTGATTCTTGGCCCCCACTCTCCTCTCTCTCCCCTCTCTCCTCTCTCTGATTCTTGACCCCCACTCTCCTCTCTCCAGTTGTACCAGCAGCAGGGGCCCCAGGTGTGCTCCGTCCTGTCCCAGATGAGGCCCACACTTCCAGAGTACCACAGCCTTGAGTGGAGGCTGGACGTTCACGTAGGTGTCCCCAACACTCTACATTTCCTTTGTTTGAACGGATGATTCTCTGATCTTATCTGAAAGTCCTCCGGTTGTGATTTAGGGCTATACAAAAAGAGATATATACTGTAGAAGAAGAAGAAGAAGGCCCTTTATTTGTCCCACAGTGGGGAAATATCAGTTTGATGAATACACACATACATCAAGGCATAAGAACATTACTTCTGCGCTCCTTATAGGCAAACTGGGTTAAGTGTCTTGCCCAAGGACACGTACACGCTTGTTGTGGTCAGACCTGTGGCTGTGTTTGCAGGTGTCCAGGCGCGCTCTGAGGCAGCAGTTGTGTCCTGTCATGACGCTGTGCCTGGCTTTAACTGAAGGGGGCACTGGTGAGCAGAGCACGCGCAGACTGCTCCAAGCTCGGCCCTCCACCCTGCTCCACCTGCTGCGTGAGCTGGAGAGCGCTCTCGACGCCATGAAGAGCACACACACACGCCGAATCCTGCGCAACGTCAAGTGACCGCGCCCGCTTCTGTTTGAACGCAACTCACGTCACGGACAGATGTCTTTTAAATCAAAGTATTTCCCTTAACTATGTGCCTTGATTCAGACCGCACTAGGTTGGGTTTAAATGTAAATACAGCTAAATGTACTAAAATACTAAAATATTTACCTATTTTGTTTCTACCATTTGAGTGTTTGCACAGTCAGTCCACTTGTGTTAGTCATGTTCAGCCGCAGTATTTCACTGCTGACCACATAATGCCTTTCTTAATCTTTTAATGTCGTCTTCTCTGGATATTCCATTCACCCGATAAATCCACACTGTACCCTGGACTCCCCGGACCACAGGGACCACAGGGCTCCTCCTCAGACCACAGGGACCACAGGGCTCCTCCTCAGACCACAGGGACCGCAGGGCTCCTCCTCAGACCACAGTGCACTGTAGACTGAAGATTCTGATGGAGATTTTTTGCTCTGCGCACAGACAGGACTTTTGAAAAGTCCCATAATGTAAATGTGTGAAAGCAACAATACAATATGCAGCGTGGTATTGTGGTCATTATTCACCACAACTAGGAACAAATTAGCCTCACATTTTGAAAACGTCTTCTTTTAATTTAATGTGTGCTTGTGGAATTGCAAGGAGGTTGCTCAAAGGCAGGCAGCTCGCCAACAAACTGTGCACTCCTTTCTCTGTTGTGTGAGTGAAACGGATCGTCCTGTTGTCAGTAATGTGTTTTATAAATAAAAGCTGAACCTTTCCTTTGGTCTAATTCTTCTGAGCCACCTTAAGTTCTCACCCTACTTTATATATATTTAAATTTAGGTTAATTAGTAGAATTTATATTTTTGTTTAAAACTGTTTACTCGGTCACATGTTTTTGGGATTCTTTCATGGTTATTAATAGTTGGGTGGCCTTCTATAATTTTAGTCACAATTTGAAAGCTCTCTTCACCCATGGTTTGAACCATCATACAGTGGTTTACAGGAGTGAAATAAAGTACAGTGTGCAATAATTATTTAAACAAAATTATAAAGAAAAATATACAAGTTCATAGGGGTGTCCTTTTGCATACCTGACCAGTCAGATATATCTACAGTCTATGGATATGACACATTCTGCACAGAAAAGTTCCATTTCTTTGTTTTTTTTATGTGTCTGAGATGTAACTCTGAGCGGGTCAGGACACTCCTGCACAGTAGATGGCAGTAGTTTTCAGCTCTATCACAGATGTAAGTCCTGTAAGCACAGTTCCGGCTGAAGAAGACTGATGTAAACAGAACACACGCGCCACCAGCGTGTGGTGCCGACCTATGCCAACCTGTGCCAACCTGTCCTTGTGCTGAAGGATCAGAGGCGGTCTGTGATGGATAACATGTCCCAGGACAGAGTGCCCTGTCCCAGCCTGAGCCGCCTGTGTCTCCGCGCTGTGAGGACGCACTTCTGTGCTGTGGGGACGCGCGCCGCCCACGGTCAGTCACACGCACACGCACACGCACACGCCAGCGCTCACCAGCCCCAGGTCCATCATGTAGTTCTGCTTAAAGCTTGGGGACCTAACTTCCACACCAAACTCATTCTCAACAGTTCTTTAACAAAACAAACATACCAAATGTTTGGATTCTTTATACGTTCCTTTCCTTCGTCCAACAGTAAAACACCAAGTGTCATGATGAAAGTTAAAGTAGAAATATGTAAGATTTTATGTCTATTCAGATTTTACAGACAGCTCCTTTAATTGAACCCAAATTATTGATGCAACTTCTTTTACATGTGTTCCATGGCATTGATGGTGGAACCTCCATATGAAGTGGAACCTGTTCCTAGATATGGTCTGATATATCAATCTCGTCGACACTGCAGTGTATCTATGTTTGTGTGTTTATGTAGCCAGTCAGAAAGTGGCAGAGGGTGCTTTGAAATAATCCTGAGCCATAAGCGTCAGGGGAGGACTCTGCTGCTCGCAGATCGAGATTCTGATGATCCGGGTCTGGTCCAGAGAATTCTTTGGACTCTGAACTGCTTTTCTCCTTCGAGCGCCGAAACCATGAACATGGCCGCTCTCTCCTGATGCCGTCCCGGGGGTAACATTAGTCTAAGCCCACTTTTTGCTGCTTTATTGGGTCCTCTTTGACCTTTGAGCCTGACCATCTCCACAGACTCCCACTGATGTCTGCTGTCGTTGTGTCCTTGGGCAAGACACTTAACTCACTTTTCCCTTTAAGGAGCGCAGATGTAATGTTCGCTGCATGCCTTGATGTGTATGTATTTGTGTATTCATCAATTTGAAATGTCACCTCTGTGGGACGAGTAAAGGACCTTCTTCTTCCTCCATGACACAGTGATCACCTCAAACACCTTTACTGCTCAAACCACAACCAACTAAAGCCTGTTCCTTTCCTGTTTCTTTGTACTTTGTTTTGCCTCGATCTATCACACAGTCATCAACGTGCTTCGATACATTACAGCAGGTTGTGTTTCCTGATCAACACCATAAGAGTGTGTACTATCTACAACCAAACTCAGTGAATGGACTTCCCTGGACATGAATAGTTCTGGAGCAATCACCCGTATTCACAGTAATTGAACAGGAAAACATTTCTGGCCTTTGAGCCAGAGGGTCGTGGGTTCGAGCTGGACCTTCACCATCGACTCCCACTGACTACTGTCGTTGTGTCCTTGGCAAGACACTTAACCTCTGGGAACAGCAGGTGCCACAGTGGGGCGGCTGCGGCTGTAAAGTGCCAAACTGCAGTTGTGTCCTTAGGCAAGACACTTCACCCGCATTGCCTAGAATGAGTCTGGTGTGTGTGAGTGGTTGGTGGTGGTGGGAGGGGCCGATGGCACAGCCTGGTTGCCTCGCTTCTGTCAGTGTGCCCCAGGGCAGCTGTGGCTACAGTAGTAGTTTATCACCACCGTGTTTGGAGAGAATAGAATGAATAATGACACATGTGAAGCGTCTTTGAGTGTCCAAAAAAGCGCATTATAAAACCAATGCATTATTATTATTATTATTATTAGATGATTGAACCACTGGGGCTTGGTCTGTCTGAGTTAATGTCCCTTGTCTTTCCCCTGATGTAGTTCTCCCACTCGGCCTTTTGGAGGAGCTGCAGCCGCACCTCACTGTGTGGCAGCTGGACCGTCTGCAGCCCTTGCTCAACCGCAGAGGTACACACACACACACACACACACACACACACACACACACACACTTGTAATCACTGACTCTCACTGAAGTGTATTCCCTGATAACATTCTGTGAGAACATATCCACCTTACTCACTATTCTAGTTTTGTGATAGACCTACATGTATTTGCATTCACCATATTGGAATTGTAGCCATTCTTACACACGGAGAGGTCTGCTGTCAGGGCTGACTTTGTGTGTTTACGTGTGTGTGTGTGTGTGTGTTTCAGGAGTGTCCACCTTGAGCGCCTGGAGGAACATCCTGAGACACATGCGAGGACCATCTTGTGTATGTGTTTTACCCTTTCTGAAAATGACTGGTTAAAAAAACAAAAAAACAATTTCATCCCATTTTAGTTTTTAGGTTCATAATTTGATACCTGGAAAGATTCCTATCAACTATGTAATAAACAGGGTCAAAAGTCCTCTAATGAGGTCATCCACTGCTCCATGGCCCGGTACCACCACGGTGAGAATGGAGAACTTTAGAACTCACAGGCCTATTGATGAATACTATTTTGGCAATTATTTTGTGGGGAATTCTGTGTTGTATAGCCCTCACCTCAAAGGACTTTAAAAAGTTGTTGAAATGCCAACACAGATCAGAGAATCCAACCGTTCAAACACAGGAAACACATAGAGCCATTGGGCCATACGGGGCAGATGACCAATGTCCGATAAATGTTGTTGAATGTCGAGTGTCCTGGAACCACTGTCCTTAGACCCTCCTGCAATGGCAAGAGAAATCCTAAAAACCCAGTGGGAGAAAATGAGAAACCTGGAGGAGGCCCACATTGAGGGAGAGGTCCCATGGATGAACAGGAGATAGATTGCCTCCCGCTGCAGGACTGAGGTGACTCCCTGGTGGAAAGAGGGTGCAGCCCACGAGTCCGGGTCGGGGAAAACAGTCCACTGTGCCGGTGGAGGGGGCCGGATTCAGGGGTCCCATCATCACGCCCTGAAACAGACAACGTGACAGCGGGCGAAGAGCAATGGACAAACAGCTGAAGTCATGATGATGGCAGATAAAGTAGGAAGAGGAGAGGATAGTGCTCATGTTACTATAAATCTAGAAAAGTGTCTTGATAAGCAGCTTGACTGAAAATCTGTGTTTTTAGATTTAAAAGTCCCGTATGACGCTTTTCTTCATGTTTCACAGTCAATCTTATGCACGTGTGACATTAATGTGAGTGATACATCTTACAACACTCAAAGCTTGTGAGATTAGAGCCATCTCTTGTATAGAGGTGACGTCGACTCAAACAGGCTCTGAGTTGTTCATCACCGGTACTTGGTCATTTCAGACATTATAATAAACTTTTTCCAACAATGACAATCTGTAACATCGAACCCTATGTCCTTGATCCACAATTAGACCCTGATTATTTAGTTTAGCGTCACTGCACTCACAGATCGGGGGTCCGTGTTATGTCTTTTATCGTGGGATTAACACTGGTTTACACATCAGTTTAGTAGTTCTGGAACAGTCTCAGTGAAGTGTCGCAGATGAACACATTCATTCAAACAGAGGCAAAACCATGTGAAAAAGGTCGAGCCGCTTTCTTTCTCTTCGGGCCAAATAGTGTGTCACATATTTAATAATAATAATAATACATCGGTTTTATATAGCGCTTTTCAAGAACTCAGACGCTTCACAAGTTCATGACACAAACACACACGTTTAGACAGACACACAAACAAAAAATCTAAGAGTGAGGAAGAAGGGTAGAAAGTTTAAACTAAGAGTCAAATGCTCGGAGGAAAAGGTGAGTTTTGAGCTGTTTTTTGAAGGAGTTTAGAGAGTCCGAGTTTCTGAGATGGAGGGGGAGGGAGTTCCAGAGAGTGGGAGCAGAGATGGCGAAAGCTCGGTCCCCCAAGGTTCGGTGCTTGGATTTGACAGTGGGAGTGAGGAGATGTGAGTCTGCAGATCGGAGTCGGCGGGAGGGACTGTAGAAGTTCAGTGAGGTCTGGAGGAGGAGGTCATGGAGGGCTTTGTAGGTGATGAGGAGGATTTTGAAATGGATGCGCTGTTTAACGGGGAGCCAGTGGAGTTTTTGAAGGACAGGGGTGATGTGCTCTCTGGAGCGGGTCTGAGTGAGGAGGCGGGCGGCGGAGTTTTGGACCTATTGTAGTATTGACATATTTACACCCAAAACACATTTTATCCAAGTTTACGTGATCCTGACACTTATAGTCGCTGACAAAAGCAGAAAAACAGTAGCTCCATGTGGTGTCCGCGAGACCAAACCACAGGAGCCGGACTCTGGAGCTGGACTCTGGAGCCGGACTCTGGAGCCGGACTCTGGAGCCGGACTCTGGAGCCGGACTCTGGAGCCGGACTCTGGAGCCGGACTCTGGAGCCGGACTCTGGAGCCGGACTCTGGAGCCGGACTCTGGAGCCGGACTCTGGAGCCGGACTCTGGAGCTAGCTGCGCGCTCTGATTCGCTGTTTCGATCTGTCATTCACCTCACGGCTTTTACTATTATTTTTATTTGTATTATTTTTGATAACAAACCGCATACTTATTGTGTATTGTTTACCCTGTTACAAGGGTTATGCGTGTCATATTGGTCATCAGAGTGGTAATCGTCTCTGAAGTGGACCCGAGCGTTTCTGTGCCTCTCGAGGCTGAAGGAGACCGATCGCTCTCTTACTAAAGATTTGACAGAATCAATGAAAAAACGACTCTGGGCAAACAGTGTGTATGAGGCCAAATAGCTGTCATCATGTTTATAGCAAAGAAAAGTCAAAAAGCGTAATATGGGCCCTTTTAAGGTTGTATAAGTCTTACCTGAGTCTTACCTAACCATATGCTAAATGTAAATGTGTCAGGCGTTTTATGAGTGCAAGGCTCAGTTGGGTTGACCCAAACACACAGGAGGGGTGGAGGTCAGTGAACATATTGTCTGACTGAATATGCTTTTAGTCGAGTGTATCAAGAAGGTGTCAGTAAGATGTGTTTTCGTCCTATAATGTTGTCAGTTCTATCCCTGCCCTACTGTAAAGGTGGCAGCATTAGTTATAAACTGTTGGTGTGTTGGCTGCGTGTCCAGGTGCTGGATGTTTCTGGTGAGGACGAGGCCAAGCTTCTGGTGATGCGAGGCCTGTTCCCCTCCGTCCTGTACGACTTCAACAGCAGCTCCATCCCCAAACAGCTGTGCGGGCCGGACCACAGCGCGCTCCTGTGTGTGGCGGCACGCTACATATGTCACTTTGTCCTGCTGAATATGGAGCCGCCCTTGAGGAGACTGACCCAGGAGAACAGGCGTGTGCTGCAGCTGCTGGAGGAGCACGCCGTCAGTGTGGGAGTGTCTCACAGCTTAGACCCACGCAAAGGTCTGCACACATGTTACACACATGTTACACACACACACACATGTTACACACACACACATGTTACACACATGTTACACACACACATGTTACACACACACGTTACACACACACACATGTTACACACTTATTATTACAACAACAGCCCTCCCCAGTATTTCACAAATGTGTGTGTGCCAAAACTTTTTTATTTTTATTTTAACAGATACAGGGAAAACTCAAAGTAGAGCCACTGGGCCCTAAAGTACTAACCTCGAGCCTCCAAGATCCTTAATCCAGGCCTTATTATAAACATGTCTGACACAATGGCGTCTCATATCAAATTACTCATTGAACCGCTCTATAACCAACTTGAAGTATGTAAATGACCTAACCTACCCATTCAATTAGATTTGTTTTTGTTTAGCGCTAAATCACAACAGTAATCGCCTCGGAGGACTTAACAAAGTTGTTGATTCACCAACACAGATCAGAGAATCAAACCGTTCGAACACAGTTCGTTTCTATGCCTCACAGCAAGAGTTGTGAGTTCACTTTTGTGTTGGCCTTTCTGTGCAGAGTTTGCATGTTTTCCCCGTGTCTTTAGATGTTTCCTTCGGGTGCTCCAGTTCCCCCAACCACTCTAAACATCCATCAGCGGGAAAATCCTCCAGTTCTGGTCCAGAAAACAGAGCAACATCTGGAGATGGGTCCCTAGACGCTGCTCTGTGGAGACCACTGCCCCTGACAGAGGCCCTAGGAGCATTACAGGATGGCCCCAGTGGTAGTGGGACATTTCCCCACAGGGACAAAAAAGTACACCTGAACCTTAACTGCATCACATGGAAAGATGTTAGCCCTCTAATCCTTGAGCACTTTGTTTCAGCGGAGAACCAGATGGCTCTTCTGGTGCTGCACCGGCTACTGGACCATGGTCATGTCGGGAGGGTGGTGCTGGAGGCCCGCTGCCCCCACACTCTGGCTTGGATCCTGGACAGACGTGGGCCCCAGCCCCTGCACCCATATGCTCAGGTTGAGGGACTGAGGGACTGCAGAGGTGAGAGCGAGCGAGGGCCCGCCTGTTCCAACACTGCCCCCGAGCAAGGGCCCGCCTGCTCCAACACTGCCCCAGAGCCAGGGCCCTCCTGTACCAGCACTGCCCCAGAGCCAGGGCCCTCCTGTACCAGCACTGCCCCAGAGCGAGGGCCCTCCTGTACCAGCACTGCCCCAGAGCGAGGGCCCTCCTGTACCAGCACTGCCCCAGGGCGAGGGCCCTCCTGTACCAGCACTGCCCCAGAGCCAGGGCCCTCCTGTACCAGCACTACCCCAGAGCAAGGGCCCTCCTGCTCCAGCACTGCCCCAGAGCGAGGGCCCTCCTGTACCAGCACTACCCCAGAGCGAGGGCCCTCCTGTACCAGCACTGCCCCAGAGCGAGGGCCCTCCTGTACCAGCACTGCCCCAGGGCGAGGGCCCTCCTGTACCAGCACTGCCCCAGAGCCAGGGCCCTCCTGTACCAGCACTACCCCAGAGCAAGGGCCCTCCTGCTCCAGCACTGCCCCAGAGCGAGGGCCCTCCTGTACCAGCACTGCCCCAGAGCCAGGGCCCTCCTGTACCAGCACTACCCCAGAGCAAGGGCCCTCCTGCTCCAGCACTGCCCCAGAGCAAGGGCCCTCCTGTACCAGCACTACCCCAGAGCAAGGGCCCTCCTGCTCCAGCACTGCCCCAGAGCAAGGGCCCTCCTGTACCAGCACTACCCCAGAGCAAGGGCCCTCCTGCTCCAGCACTGCCCCAGAGCAAGGGCCCTCCTGTACCAGCACTACCCACGGTATAATCCCCATTGGTGCTTAAAGAGGGAATCATGTGCTGTTGTCTGGCACAGTGAGAGTCTGCTCCCTGTGAGTCACTTTTCAAAGTCTATATTTATTCTAAAACCAGCTAAAGCCCCCATTTCTCCGTAAAGACCACTAACAATGCTCCCTTCTATGGCTAGCAAACTTAAAGGTACATTACTCTATTATTACATGGGACCAAAAATGCTTCACTTCTGCAATTATTTCGGCCTCCATGGCGCAAGCAAACGCCATTGATGAGCACAGGACAGTGATTTGAATGAGCAGACATTGCCTGGTTGCCTGGGCTTGGGTTACTGCACCTCTCCAACCCTCGCCCTCCCACACCTCTCCGACTCTCGCCCTCCCACACCTCTCCGACTCTCGCCCTGCCACACCTCTCCAACTCTCGCCCTGCCGCACCTCTCCGACTCTCGCCCTGCCACACCTCTCCGACTCTCGCCCTCCCACACCTCTCCGACTCTCGCCCTGCCACACCTCTCCAACTCTCGCCCTGCCACACCTCTCCAACCCTCGCCCTCCCACACCTCTCCGACTCTCGCCCTGCCACACCTCTCCAACTCTCGCCCTGCCACACCTCTCCAACCCTCGCCCTCCCACACCTCTCTGACTCTCGCCCTGCCACACCTCTCCAACTCTCGCCCTGCCACACCTCTCCAACCCTCGCCCTCCCACACCTCTCCGACTCTCGCCCTGCCACACCTCTCTGACTCTCGCCCTGCCACACCTCTCTGACTCTCGCCCTGCCACACCTCTCCAACCCTCGCCCTCCACACCTCTCTGACTCTCGCCCTCCCACACCTCTCTGACTCTCGCCCTGCCACACCTCTCCAACTCTCGCCCTCCCACACCTCTCTGACTCTCGCCCTGCCACACCTCTCTGACTCTCGCCCTGCCACACCTCTCCAACCCTCGCCCTGCCACACCTCTCCAACCCTCGCCCTCCCACACCTCTCCAACTCTCGCCCTCCCACACCTCTCCAACCCTCGCCCTCCCACACCTCTCTGACTCTCGCCCTGCCACACCTCTCTGACTCTCGCCCTCCCACACCTCTCTGACTCTCGCCCTGCCACACCTCTCCAACTCTCGCCCTCCCACACCTCTCTGACTCTCGCCCTGCCACACCTCTCTGACTCTCGCCCTGCCACACCTCTCCAACCCTCGCCCTGCCACACCTCTCCAACCCTCGCCCTCCCACACCTCTCCAACTCTCGCCCTCCCACACCTCTCCCAACCCTCGCCCTCCCACACCTCTCTGACTCTCGCCCTGCCACACCTCTCTGACTCTCGCCCTCCCACACCTCTCTGACTCTCGCCCTGCCACACCTCTCTGACTCTCGCCCTGCCACACCTCTCCAACTCTCGCCCTCCCACACCTCTCCAACCCTCGCCCTCCCACACCTCTCTGACTCTCGCCCTGCCACACCTCTCTAACCCTCGCCCTGCCACACCTCTCTGACTCTCGCCCTGCCACACCTCTCTGACTCTGCCCTGCCACACCTCTCCGACTCTCGCCCTCCCACACCTCTCCGACTCTCGCCCTCCCACACCTCTCCGACTCTCGCCCTGCCACACCTCTCCAACTCTCGCCCTGCCGCACCTCTCCGACTCTCGCCCTGCCACACCTCTCCGACTCTCGCCCTCCCACACCTCTCCGACTCTCGCCCTGCCACACCTCTCCAACTCTCGCCCTGCCACACCTCTCCAACCCTCGCCCTGCCACACCTCTCCGACTCTCGCCCTGCCACACCTCTCCAACTCTCGCCCTGCCACACCTCTCCAACCCTCGCCCTCCCACACCTCTCTGACTCTCGCCCTGCCACACCTCTCCCACTCTCGCCCTGCCACACCTCTCCAACCCTCGCCCTCCCACACCTCTCTGACTCTCGCCCTCCCACACCTCTCTGACTCTCGCCCTGCCACACCTCTCCAACTCTCGCCCTCCCACACCTCTCTGACTCTCGCCCTGCCACACCTCTCTGACTCTCGCCCTGCCACACCTCTCCAACCCTCGCCCTGCCACACCTCTCCAACCCTCGCCCTCCCACACCTCTCTGACTCTCGCCCTGCCACACCTCTCCAACTCTCGCCCTCCCACACCTCTCCAACCCTCGCCCTCCCACACCTCTCTGACTCTCGCCCTGCCACACCTCTCTGACTCTCGCCCTCCCACACCTCTCTGACTCTCGCCCTGCCACACCTCTCCAACTCTCGCCCTGCCACACCTCTCCAACTCTCGCCCTCCCACACCTCTCCAACCCTCGCCCTCCCACACCTCTCTGACTCTCGCCCTGCCACACCTCTCTAACCCTCGCCCTGCCACACCTCTCTGACTCTCGCCCTGCCACACCTCTCTGACTCTGCCCTGCCACACCTCTCCGACTCTCGCCCTCCCACACCTCTCCAACTCTCGCCCTGCCACACCTCTCCGACTCTCGCCCTGCCACACCTCTCCAACCCTCGCCCTGCCACACCTTTCTGACTCTCGCCCTGCCACACCTCTCCAACCCTCGCCCTCCCACACCTCTCTGACTCTCGCCCTGCCACACCTCTCCCACTCTCGCCCTGCCACACCTCTCCAACTCTCGCCCTGCCACACCTCTCTGACTCTCGCCCTGCCACACCTCTCCAACTCTCGCCCTCCCACACCTCTCCAACTCTCGCCCTGCCACACCTCTCCGACTCTCGCCCTGCCACACCTCTCCAACCCTCGCCCTGCCACACCTCTCCAACTCTCGCCCTCCCACACCTCTCTGGATTCTCGCCCTGCCACACCTCTCCAACTCTCGCCCTGCCACACCTCTCCTACTCTCGCCCTGCCACACCTCTCCAACTCTCGCCCTGCCACACCTCTCCAACTCTCGCCCTGCCACACCTCTCTAACCCTCGCCCTGCCACACCTCTCTGACTCTCGCCCTGCCGCACCTCTCTGACTCTCGCCCTGCCACACCTCTCTGACTCTCGCCCTGCCACACCTCTCCAACCCTCGCCCTGCCACACCTCTCTGACTCTCGCCCTGCCACACCTCTCCCACTCTCGCCCTGCCACACCTCTCTGACTCTCGCCCTGCCACACCTCTCCCACTCTCGCCCTGCCACACCTCTCCAACCCTCGCCCCTCCCACACCTCTCTGACTCTCGCCCTGCCACACCTCTCTGACTCTCGCCCTGCCACACCTCTCCAACCCTCGCCCTGCCACACCTCTCTAACCCTCGCCCTGCCACACCTCTCTGACTCTCGCCCTGCCGCACCTCTCTGACTCTCGCCCTGCCACACCTCTCTGACTCTCGCCCTGCCACACCTCTCCAACCCTCGCCCTGCCACACCTCTCTGACTCTCGCCCTGCCACACCTCTCCCACTCTCGCCCTGCCACACCTCTCTGACTCTCGCCCTGCCACACCTCTCTGACTCTCGCCCTGCCACACCTCTCCCACTCTCGCCCTGCCACACCTCTCCAACCCTCGCCCTGCCACACCTCTCTGACTCTCGCCCTGCCACACCTCTCCAACTCTCGCCCTCCCCCACACCTCTCTGATTCTCGCCCTGCCACACCTCTCCAACTCTCGCCCTGCCACACCTCTCCGACTCTCGCCCTGCCACACCTCTCCAACTCTCGCCCTGCCACACCTCTCCAACTCTCGCCCTGCCACACCTCTCCAACCCTCGCCCTGCCACACCTCTCTGACTCTCGCCCTGCCACACCTCTCCAACCCTCGCCCTGCCACACCTCTCTGACTCTCGCCCTGCCACACCTCTCTGACTCTCGCCCTGCCACACCTCTCTGACTCTCGCCCTGCCACACCTCTCTAACTCTCGCCCTGCCACACCTCTCCAACTCTCGCCCTGCCACACCTCTCCCAACTCTCGCCCTGCCACACCTCTCTGACTCTCGCCCTGCCACACCTCTCCGACTCTCGCCCTGCCACACCTCTCTGACTCTCGCCCTGCCACACCTCTCTGACTCTCGCCCTGCCACACCTCTCCAACCCTCGCCCTGCCACACCTCTCTGACTCTCGCCCTGCCACACCTCTCCAACTCTCGCCCTGCCACACCTCTCCAACTCTCGCCCTGCCACACCTCTCCAACCCTCGCCCTGCCACACCTCTCTAACCCTCGCCCTGCCACACCTCTCCGACTCTCGCCCTGCCACACCTCTCTGACTCTCGCCCTGCCACACCTCTCCAACCCTCGCCCTGCCACACCTCTCTAACCCTCGCCCTGCCACACCTCTCCAACCCTCGCCCTGCCACACCTCTCTGACTCTCGCCCTGCCACACCTCTCCAACTCTCGCCCTGCCACACCTCTCCAACTCTCGCCCTGCCACACCTCTCCAACTCTCGCCCTGCCACACCTCTCTGACTCTCGCCCTGCCACACCTCTCCAACCCTCGCCCTCCCACACCTCTCTGACTCTCGCCCTGCCACACCTCTCCCACTCTCGCCCTGCCACACCTCTCTGACTCTCGCCCTGCCACACCTCTCTGACTCTCGCCCTGCCACACCTCTCTGACTCTCGCCCTGCCACACCTCTCCAACCCTCGCCCTGCCACACCTCTCTGACTCTCGCCCTGCCACACCTCTCCAACCCTCGCCCTGCCACACCTCTCTGACTCTCGCCCTCCCACACCTCTCTGACTCTCGCCCTGCCACACCTCTCTGACTCTCGCCCTCCCACACCTCTCTGACTCTCGCCCTGCCACACCTCTCCAACCCTCGCCCTCCCACACCTCTCTGACTCTCGCCCTGCCACACCTCTCCCACTCTCGCCCTGCCACACCTCTCTGACTCTCGCCCTGCCACACCTCTCTGACTCTCGCCCTGCCACACCTCTCCCACTCTCGCCCTGCCACACCTCTCCAACCCTCGCCCTCCCACACCTCTCTGACTCTCGCCCTCCCACACCTCTCTGACTCTCGCCCTGCCACACCTCTCCCACTCTCGCCCTGCCACACCTCTCCAACCCTCGCCCTGCCACACCTCTCTGACTCTCGCCCTCCCACACCTCTCTGACTCTCGCCCTGCCACACCTCTCTGACTCTCGCCCTCCCACACCTCTCTGACTCAGCCTGCCACACCTCTCTGACTCCGATGCGCTTTGATATTTATTATATTGAAATGACCACATGTTTATGGTTCTGTTGATTCAAAACAATATTGAATTGACTTGTTTGCAGTGAGGAAGAGAGGGGGTGGGCCCGTACAGGGTGTTGCAAACCCAGGTCCTCTCTCCAAACGATCCAGACTGGACCTCAGAGACGTTGTGGATCCCAGGGCGGGGTAAGGATGTTGCACACATGAAATGGTATTGCTCTTTATATACTGTATTGTAATAAAGTATTAAAAGTATAAAATCTATTGATCTGCAAATGGTCTGCTGCCGCCGCCCTTGAGGCATCCTGAAAAGATGCCCGAGTAACCTCCACTGGCTCTTCTTGACATGTAGGTCCAGTGGCTCTACTTTGAGCTTCCCCCTGTTTCGGTCGTTACCCAAAGCTCATGATTATAGGGTCAGGGTGGGAACGTAGACTGAGCGGTAAATCCGGAGCTCTGACTGCAGACAGATAAGATAAGACAGACTCACACTGGAAAAATGTACACGTCACATTTGGCATAGATAGAATCACTCAGATTGTGCCAAAGACTTAGTTGTGGCTTAACATATGTACAAACATGTTAAGCCACAACTATATTCTTGTTGTAACAGCAGTGACACAGTTTCTGTATCAAACTGTTGGTGACGAGAGAGCAGCGTCACTGCAAAGGACTGAGGAGGAGCTGAGGAGCTCCTTCTGTGGAAGACTGAGACACCCTCAGTGCAAGAAGGAGCAGGGCCTTTATCCCACCGCTGTCAGACTGTACAAGAAGTCACTAATGCACTAGGACTGAAAAACCTGCACTGCTATTGCCACTGTTTCTTTAATTGCAATTTTTTTATTGAACATAATATATCCTGCACGGACTATGTTTTTTATTTTTTACCTTTATTATAGTTGGCATTAACCTTATAGATATAAACAAGGACATTTAATGACACTTAACATAGTTCCAAGATACAAACCGAGGCCCAAGAGGTCGGGCCCAGAGTGCCTCTTCTGTATTGGCTTCAGCTTCAATCCTTGTGGATCAGGTAGAGAGCGGTCAGAGCGTCACAACTATAGAGAGGGATGTGGGACCCCCCCCAATGAAGGATACTCGGGGGATCAGATTTGACTTTTGGTGGATGCCTTTCCAGTACGTTGGAGTAGACCTTACCAGTTAGTGTGATCCTATGATAATTGGAACACAGCCTCCAGCCCCCCTTCTTAAAGTGAGGGACTACCCCCCCCCCCCCCCCCCCCCCCCCCCCGGTCTGCCACTCCATTTACACTGTCCACATTAGCACTGTGCAAACACTAACCCTACAACATCCAGAGACTTAAGTGCACTCTATCATGTGAAAGAATCTCCCAAAAGCACTGGTCTCATTTTACGAGCACTTACGACGTCACAAATCACCAGAATGATTGACTATTATGAGGACCAATAGTCTTGATGATCCACCTGGAAAAAGAAACTCCTCCTATATACCTCAGGGATGAAGCAGACAGAGACGGATCGTGGTGCGCCAAACTCTGGAAGTTTATTTAAGTTTCTCTCAAGTTCCAGTGGTTTCCATTGTTTCCTTCTCTCAGACAGAATAAAGGCAGTACACAGTTTATATAGTCATTGTCACGTCACACATGGAAAGACGTGTCACACAGAGACAGTCACATCAGAGTCAAAATAATCAGAGTCCTTGTAGAGTCTTGCACGTAGGCCATATTGCTATCTAATACTAACATACCTTTAATTCTCCTTTCAACGTGGGTCTAAAAACACGCCTTGTTCATACTGTTGACGCAGCCTTTGAACATAGCATTGGAACACAAGTCCATGAATGTGGTCTGCAGTGGATTGTATTGTGACCTGAATAATAACAATTCTCCATCAACTGAAAATGTTCCTGGAATCTGTAGCCTGCTGGACCGAG